CAGCAGCCGCCAGAGCCACATGGCGCCTCCGCGGCGGCACCGTCCCCGCTGCCTTTAAGGGGTGCCCGGGCTGCCGCTTGCCCCCGCGCGCCGCCCCGCGGCTCCTCCTCGCCCGCCGCCTCCTCCCTGCAGGGCCACCAGGTCCTCGACGCCTTCGTCCCCTGCGGATGACGCCCGGTGGCCCCGCGCGCCCCTTCCCGCCGCCTCCACGGGGAGCGGAGCTTCTCGCTCAGCCGGAAAAGTGAGACCCGCGGGCCAGGTGCCACCCGGCTTAGGATGTGCCACCAGATTCCCCCCCAAAATGGSTTTTTAATCCCAGGATTTGGAAGCAGGAGGAGCACGGTGCGCAGGGGTGAGGCCAGCGGGGCAGCCTCTTCCCTCGGCCACTGCCCGGAGCCAGGGAAGAGCAGGAGGAGGAGACGGCAKGAGCACAGCCGCTATCCTGGAGAAACGCTTCCCGCTTGTGCTTCCCGCTTGCGGAGGGACGGCTGGGAGCGGCCTCGGGGTGGAGGCCGGGAGGCTCCGGTGCTGCCGGCAATTGCAGCCGGGGTTTTGGGAATTGCAGCCCCGTTGCCGGGGATTGCGACGGCGGCTGCAATTGTCACCTCCCAACGCCCGGGGCCGGCCGCCCCCTTCCTGGGCGCGCCGCGCTCGGCGCCCACTCGCACCCCGTGGCCTCTTGCTCAATCTGGCCCCGCTCCAGGAGGAGGCTCCGAGGCCGGAGCAAGCCCTGGGAGCACAAGCAAGGCCAGGAGGTTCCCTGCTCCCCTGCAGAGCTGGCGCCCAGCCCGGCTCCATCCTGCTGCAACGCTCCTGCAGCCACCGCCGGCACGCGCATCCCAGCGCAAAACAGGGAGGGTGGAGCACAATCCGGAACCAGCACCCGCCCCGGGARCCCGGGTGCTGCCGCGGCTCGGCCTGGCCGCCGCGGGAGGCTCCGGGGCCCTTTGCTCCCCCTGCTTCCTGGGAAAACCCTCCCTCCCCGTGGGAGCTGGAGGCAGATCCTGAGTGGCAGCCGCCGCGGGAGCAGAGCCGCCCTGCGCCCTTCCCCTGCCCACGCGCGACCCGGAGCAGCCGGGTTCAGGAGCCGCCGCGCGGCGCCCCGGGAGAGCCCCGTTGCAGAGCAGGAGGGGTGCTCGGCCCCGGCACGCTCGGCTGCACAGCCGGGCAGGTTTCGCGTCCAGCCGTTTAATTTAGCAGCAGCAGAAACGTCCGCGGCTCGCGGGGCCTCCTCGCGGCACAGTCCATCCGGGTTGCACGTGGTGCCGCCCGCGCCGCGGCACCCGCCGCAGCTCCCAGTCCTGTCCCGGCCCTCAGCGGCGTCCTCACTGCCGGCGCCACAGGTAGGTCTGGATGGAGTTGGCTGGGGCCACGGTGTGGATGAGGCCGGCGCCGTCGGCCAGCGCGAAGCTCACGTCCTGTGGGCTCCTGGGCAGCGCGGGGGGCGCATCAGTGGCGCAGGAGCCGCGCCGGGGTCCCGGAGCAGAGCCCGGGGAGCCCTCGTCCCGCTTGACCAGCAGGTCCGCGCCACGTCCCGTCCTGCTCCCCGTCTCTCCAAGCAGCCCCGCGGGGTCCCCGCGGCCGTCGCCGTGCCTTGCCGTGTCCTCACCTGTTGAGGACGACGACGACGGCGGCGCCGTCGGGGCGCAGGAAGGCGACGCGCTCCAGGTCGCAGCCCTTGGGCTCCGCAGAGGCGACGAGCCCCACGCGCTGCGAGCCCTCGGGGATGAACTTGCTGCAAGGGCAAGAGCAGCCAGGGAGTCCCCAGCCAGGGGGAGCCCCCAGAGTGCCCCCCCGGCTGCCACCGCACGCGCGGGGCTGCGCCCGGCCACCCACCTGAAGTGCCCCATGTGGTAGAACATGGGCTGCTTGTAGAAGATGCCCTCAGCGCGGTCCACGATGACGGGGCTGTCCACGTAGTTCTTGACCCAGTTGGGGCCGCCCTCCAGGTCCAGCGCCAGGTTCCAGTCGGTCCAGCCGGCCACATAGTGGTTGAGGTTCTGCGAGGGGACAGCGCGGAYGTCCGCCCAGATGGCGGGGCGATGGAGGGAGAGGAAGGCAGGGAGAGGAAGGCTCCGCAGGCCCAAGGGCTCACCATGAGGATGCTGTGGCTGTACTGATTGCCYCGCTCCCAGCAGCCCAGGGCCACGTCCCGCTCCCAGAAGTGGGAGCCGATGCACGCCTCCGTGGCCAGGATGAAGTAGTCGGGGAAGAGCTCGTGYGTGGGCACCACCGTGTCCTTGATGGGCCCGATGAAGTCCAGGTACCAGTGGATGCCGATGCCGTGCACGTAGCGAGCCGCCCGCTCGTCCTCCAGCACCTGCGCAGCAYGCGGGTCGACCACCGGCCAGACCCCCACGAGCCCCCCGGCCACCGCCCCACTCACCACCCTGGCCCAGTGCGGCAGGTGCAGCCGGTTGTCGTCCAGGATGATGAGGCGGATGTCGCGGTGGGAGCTGTTGGCCAGCGCGGGGCCCAGGTCGCGGGCAATGAAGTCCCGCTGCTGCTCGGCCGTGAAGCCCAGGCACTGGAAGGGGTAGTTGTTGATGAGCCCGGCCGTGGGCTCGTTCTCCGCCGTCACGGCCCAGAAGGTCACGTTGTGCTTGGCGTATTCGTCCAGGAACCTGGAGGCGGCGGGAGAGCGGCCTGAGCGCCTCCGGGCGCGCCGCGACGCTCCGTGCTCGGCCGTGGGCGCTCGGCACCACCATGGCGCCCTGGGACGCGGCGTCGCCGCCGGCGCGGGCCGCTCCTCACCGAACAAAGTAGTTGGCCCAGGTCTTGTGGTACTTGTCCCCTGCCTGCCCCTTGAGCGTGCCCTTGCCCACGAAGGACTCACTGGTCTTCATCCAGGCCGGCGACGTCCAGGGGCTGGCGTAGAGCGACAGCGGCCGCTTGGACATGGCCATGGCTCGGCGCAGGACGGGGATCTGTGGGGCAGAGCGGTGGGGACGTCCGTGGGGCTGAGCCCCTGCGGTCCTGCCGCCAGATCCCCCCCAGGCGCCTCCCGCCGCTCGCCTTGAGCTTGGTGTCCTCGTCGCGCAGGCTGAAGTGGGCCAGCTCGTAGTCGAAGGGCACGTCGTCGTAGGTGTAGGCGTGCAGGGAGAAGTCGCAGCTGGCCATGGGGATGCGGATCAGGTTGTACTCCAGCCCTGCCGGGCACACGGGAGGCAGCGGGGGGGCTCCGCACGCTGGCGGTGCCCGGGCGGCCCGGTGCCCTGCAGCGCCYGGTGCCCACCTTCCTCGGAGAAGTAGGAGCGCAGCAGATGCTCCTGCGCCCGCTCGGGCAGCGAGAGGATGTTGATGGCAGCCGCGTCGGTGACGGAGCCGCCAAAGCCCTTCACCTTCTGGTAGCGCTGCGCGGGGTCCAGCGTGAGCACCAGCCCTGGCGCGAGAGGCGGCGTCAAGGGGGGACGCAGCGGGGGACAGCGGGGGACAGCGGGGCGGTACCTGGCGCG